AGGGAGGGAGGGAGGGAGGGAGGAGGGAGGGAGGAGGGAGGGAGGGAGGGAGGGAGGGAGGGAGGGAGGAGGGAGGGAGGGAGGGGGAGGAGGGAGGGAGGGAGGGAGGAGAAGGACCAGGGGAAGTTGGAGAGAGAGAGAGAGAGAGAGAGAGAGAGCTGGAGAAGCAGGGGCCTGTCGCCACGGGGGGGGGGCGCTCTGTCCTCCCCTCCGCCGCCAGACCCCGCGGCGCTGGCCCAGCTCGTGTGGAGCTGCTTCCCGTACGCCGCTCCGCCTGGCGAAGCGGGGGCGGCGCGCTTCCGATGCACGGATGTTGTCGTCGTCGCCGTCGCCGCTGTTGTCTTCCCCTTCGTTGTCGTCGCCGCCGCCGCGCCGTCGCCGCCGCCGCCGCTGCCGTCGTCGTCGTCGTTTTCGTCGTCGTTTTCGTCGTCGCTGCCGCCGCCGTCGTCGTCGTCGTCCTCGTCCTCGTCCTCGTCCTTGTAGTCGTCCTCGTCACCGCCGCGGTCGTCGTCGCCCACCACTCCCTTTCCCCTGTTTGCTGTCCTCTACCCTGTCTCCTCTCTCGTCTTCTCTCTCCGCTCCTCCTCTTGCTCATCCGCTCTTCTCATCCTTTATCGTCCTCCTACTTCTGCCTCCTCCCTCCGCCTTCCTATTTCATCCTCCCTATTCTCTCCTCTTCCTCTGCACTCCCTCATATGGTACATCACCGTTGTCTCATTTGTTGTGTCATCCCTCCTCCTCTCCCCGCTTTCCCACCTACTTGGCCTCCGTCCCTCCGTCGGTCCCAATGTCTCTCCCGTCCTTCTCCTCCATCCTCTTTCTCCTCCCGCTTCTCTTGTTCTCTCCCAACCCTCACCTCCTCTTCCTCCTCTCTCTTCATCCCTTCTCCTCCTCTTCCTCCTCCTACTCTTCCTCCTCCTCCTCCTCCTCCTCCTCTTCCTCCTCCTCCATATCTCCCTCCATACTCCCTCCTCCTACCCCCTCCTGTGAGGCGGAAGAGGAGAAGGAGGAGGAGGAGAGGGAGAGGCCATACGTGGGATAAGGACGGAGGCAGGAGGAGGAGTAGGATGAGGATGTGCAGGTTAAAGTTAAAGACGGGGCCTTCAAGACAAGAGGGATGGCCAGAACAAAGCAGGGACAGGGCCAGACGGGACCCGCGTTCCCGAGAGACGCCGGGTCCCAAGCGAGCAACGAGGGCCACGGAAGCCTACGCACTACAGGGAGCAGCAGGCGTGAGCCTCACCGATGCTTATCTTTCACTCACTCTCGGACGGATCGCCACGGCGCGCCAGACGGCGGCGCACCCTGCGGTCCTGCAGGGCGTCGACCGCTGCGCTGGCCGCGGCGGAGAGCTCCTCCTCGGTGATCCTGAACGCGCCGAGGAATCCAGCTCTCGTTGCAGCTGGCCGCTGCAGAGGCTGGCTGGCGGCGGCCGCTGCAGCGGGCGCAGGCGCAGGGGCCTCGCCCAGGCTCCCCGAAGCCGCCTCAGGCGCCGCGGCAGCTGCTGGAGCGCTGCCCGCACTGCTCGCAGCGGACGAGGCGCCGACAGCTGGCTCCGCTGCGATGCCGAGCCACTCCAGGTACCGTTCCTGGGCATGCCCTGGTACTGGCCCTTGCGACCGTAACGCAGGGATGCCCTCTCCCTTCGCTCTCTGCCTGGCAGCTCGTGGTCTGCCTTCTGGATGGAGTCCCCGTAGCCACAGGCTGCGCTGGTTCCTGCCTGACTTGTCAGCCTTGTCGCCTGGGCACCGCTCCTTGAAGCGAGGCTTCACCCCTGAGCGGCCGCCCAGCACCATGTAGGCGCCGCGCTTGGAGCAGGCCACGATTTCCTGGGTGTCCTCGCCTTCTCCAGCACAGGCGTAGGAAAAGGCGTGCCCCAGTATGCTGAAGGCGACAGCGCTGGCCGAGAGGGCGGCCGAGCTGCTGCCAGTCGAGCGGGCGCTCTCCAGGCGCGGCCGCTTGGCCAGAGGCCCAGCGCCAGCGGCCTCCTCAGCCGCTTGGGACGCCTCGGCGGCCGCAAAGCGCACCTGGCGCCGCTCAGCAGCAGGAGGGAGCCCTTCGCAATCCTTGACCGCGATGCCTTGCCAGATGTTGGCGGCCCGACAGATCCAGCGTCCAAGCTCCCGCACAATCTCCGCCAGCGCGTGGTGCTCGCCAACCGTCTGCCTGTCCACTGCATGCATCTGGGCCCCCATCTTGGCGAGGCGGTCTGCGTGCTCGTCGCCGCGCCTCTGGGCCTCCGTCAGGAGCCCGTCGAGCACTGCCTGCCTCGAACAGTGGGCTGGCACCTTCTTCACCTCGAAAGTGCCCGGCTCGAAGGCTGCCAGGACCCTGCTCCGCAGGTGGGCGTTGGCCCTGCTGGGCGCCGTGGAGTACGCGCGCCCTCTCCGCAGGCAGGTCACTGTGGCGCTGCCGTCGATGTTGACCTCCTCCACCGCTGGCCCCGCAAAGTTGGCGAGCATCCAAACAGCGAAGTCCTCGCCGTCCTTGGCCGTCTGCTGCGGGCAGAGGTCTCGCCTGACGGTGCCGTGCACTCCTGCGACCAGGTTGCCGTCGTCGTCGCACTGCGCAATGGCCCAGCCCGCGCGGCGCAAGGCCCCGAACTGCGGCTCGAGCGCCGAGCCATCGAGGTACAGCTTGCCGTTGAGCTTCTCATCGGCTGGCCTGTGGATCCACTGCGCCCCCACGGCGTCCGTGCGGCGACCCTGCGGCGGCGCTGGAGCGGGCGGCCAGCAGCGGGCAAAGTTCTCGCCTGAGATACGCCGCCCGCGCCCGCTCCGCACACCGCTTCAGCCGTGCAGACACCCCGTCACGCCGCTGGGGCTCCAGCACGGGGCATTCGAACAAGCGGTGCCACAAGGTGCCTCGCTCTGCCCCGCAGCAGTTGCAACGCGCATGTCCCCGTTCGCCAGCATCCAAGAGCATGGCCTGCGTCCAGTGCGCGTTGGAGATGTAGGCGCCGAGCGCGCTCTGGTCCCTTGCGCTCAGCTCGCTGTCTGGCCCGAGCAACCGTCCGATGGCGTCCCAGTACAACGGCCGCTGCATGAGGGGGTCATGGCTGAGCTGCCGCATCTCGCGGCGATCCGAGGCACGCCGAGCACCGAGGCCGGCCTCCAAGCCCAACTCCCGAGGCCCGAGGAGCATGAGGTCGAGCTCGTCGCCGAGGTCCGTGACCAGGCACCGCTCGGGCTGGAAGTGCCAGCCGATCCGCGCGAGGGTCAGGGCCACCGCATCGATGGGGGGGCACAGTGCTTCCACGGCGCGTCGGCACTAGCGCGCCTGTCGCCGCCGCCTCTAGCCCCCGCGCCATCATCCTGAGCGGCAGCTCGCCTGACTGCAGCAGGCCCGCCAGCATCTAGACTGCGTGGCCGGCCGTGAGGACCGCAGGATCCAGGTCACGCCTCCTCCTGAGCTCGGCGCAGCGCATGCGTGGCCCTAGCGCAGCGCCCATGGGGGGCGCTCCTGCGCTGCGGCGCGCCGCGAGCCTCCAGCTGCGCAGCTCGCCGTCCGCGATGCCTGTGACCGCGCGGCCCCGCGCCATGCTGGCCGTTGGCCCAGCCCTGTGGATCAGGTCCACCTCTGCTCCAGCGGCTCGAAGGCAGCCCAGCCGGCGCGCTCGGCGTAGTGCTCCAGCGGCTCGCACTCGGCCCTCATGCACTCCTCGCCTCGTGATGGCGGCGTCCGTGCCGAGGTTCCTGGCCTGCAAAGTCTTACGAAAGCTCCAGCCCTGCGACTTGCAGTGCTCGCCGAGCTGGCGCCCGAGGCTGGGGCTCGAGGCGAGAAAGGTGGTCTTGGCAGCGCTGAGGGGCAGATGCTGACCTCGGAGGAAACGAGCCACCTCCAGCCCAGCGCTGCCAAGCTGCGCGGCGACCAGCCGCTCAGTGCCCACGGCCTGCAGCGCGACGTCGTCGACGACGTTGCGAGCGACCGCCAGCGGCCTGCCGCCCACAGAGGCAGCACGGAGGGCTGCAAGCACAGGCAGCTTGGCCACGGTGGTGGCGCACGCACACCCCGCAAACACTGTCCCGTTCGTGCAGAACGACTCGGTGGCCAGGCCCACGAAGCAAATGAACCGCGGGCTCTGGTAGAGCATGAGCAGACCTCGCAGCAGCTTCAGGTTGAAGCCATGCTCGATCCCACACTGCCACAGGACGTCGTGCCGCAGGTTCTCGTAGAACTTGGCGATGTCCAAAAAGAGGCTGGCGGAAGCAAACCCACTCTCCCGCGCAAAGGCGGCATATGCGCTGTGCAGCCACCCAGCCTTCTCGCACCCGCGGTCGGCCTTGCCCCAGAAGAAGCGGTAGTCGTGCTCCGCCTCCCACAGTGCACAGATCGGCTGCCTCAGGCGGCTCCAGATGCGCATGAGCAGCGGGATCAGTGCGATCGGTCGAACTCCTCCGTCCGACTTGGGAATGAAGACCATCATGGTGGCCTGGGCGCCCAGGGCCTGGGGTTGCTCCTCGCAGGCCGCTAGGAGGTCCAGGCAGCGCCACTGCAGGGCCACTGGGAGCAGCAGCAGCTGCCGCGGGTGGAGCTGGTCGGCGCCATGGCCCGCCGTTGGCGAGTAGCGCTTGCACACTGCCTGCAGCATCTCCAGGCTGAGGGGCGGCAGCGCCCAGCCTCGGACGTCCCAGCTCCCGACTCCAGCTCCAGACCTGAAGCCTTCCTGCTGCCACAAGGCTTGCCAGTTGGCCTCCAGCTGCCCGGCTGCCAGCATGCCTGCCAGGGGCCTGCCAGGGGCAGGGTCCACCACTTGCGGGGGCGGGACAGCCTCGGCAAACCTCTGGGCGAGCCTGCCGCCCTTCTGCACGGCATCTTTGGCCCATGCTCTCCGGGAAGCCGAGCTCTTGCCGCCGTCGCGCCTCTGGGGGCCAGCGAGGCGCTGCTGGAGCACTGCAATGGCCTCTGGACTCCCATGCACACCAGCTTGACCAATGAGGTCGCCCCACTCGCTGGTGTCGTACTCGAGGGCCTCGACCTCGTCCTCCTCGCAGGCTGCTGCGGCGGCCGCCTCCGCATCGGCCAGGGCGCGCTCCACCTGCCGAGCGTGCCAGGCCTCGTGCGCGGGCTGCCAGCGCTGCTTCCTGTCAGCAGTGAGCCTCTGGAGCGCGATGTCGAGGGCCTGGCGGATGGCGTGGGTGAGGGCCGAGTGTCGGTGGCGGTACTCGCACTTGACCACAGCGCTGAGGGGCTTGAGGACAATCTTGGGCCCCTCGGACCGCCCCAGGTACCTGTGTAGGTCGCCGTCGTCGATGCCGTGGATCCCCACCAAGGTGCTCTCGACTACCTGGATCCACTGGCGAGCTGCTTCATGGGGGGCACTCGGGCGGGGGCCCACCTCCCAGGACCAACGGCAGGGCTCCACCTGCCAGCGAGTGCGCCCCGCGCGGCGGCGCGCCTGGACAGCAGCATCTTCGCGGAGCCGGCAAGCTGCAGCGTCGACATCAGGGGAACGACCTGGGCGGACCAGCACCTGCACCAAGGCATCTGGTCTCGCGTCTTGCAGCAGCAGCCTCGCAGGCTTGTGGGGGCATAGCCCAAAGCCATCCAGCGCTGAGGCCTCGCGGGCCCCATGGGCTAGACAGAAGGAGCTCGCAAACCAGTCGTACTCATGCTCGGCACCCTGGTCTACGCACGTGAACTAGGAGGGCCCCAGGTACGTACCTCGCTGCACTCTGGGCCATCCCATCTCGCGCAGCGTGCCTGGCTCCATGTTGAAGTCGCCCTGCGTCAGCCAGGGCATGCCAGCGGAGAGCACCGCGTCGCCGACGGCGGCGAAGATGTCGAGGTTGACGCTTTTGGGCCCCAGGGCGTCCTCAAGATACAGCGAGCAGGCGAGCAGCTGCAGGCCTGACGCGGTGGACACCGTGACTCAGATCATGCGATGCATGAGGTCGCTCGGGACCTGCCAGGCTAGCTCCTTTGCCTGCCGGTCGCTGCGAACCAAGGCCGCGACGCCGCCTGAATGCGCCGGAGGGCCCTCCTTGTCCGTGGGCGCCGACGCGTGGGGGAAGGCCGTGTACCCCGTGCGGCGCACCGCCCCTCTGGCTTCCTCCAGGCGGTGCGGGGCTAGGCGGGTCTCCTGGAGAATCACCAGGTGCGGCGGGGCCCCGTGCCGACTGACAAAGGCCTCGATCACCTCCCGGCTCCTCCTCCAGGTGTTGCCGTTGATCCCGAGCACCTCCAGCCCGCAGCGGACGTCCTGAGCCGCCGTCGCTGCTTGGCCTGGCGCCGGTGGGGCCTGCGCGCTCCCGAGGTCGAGGGGCCGCTTGCCGCCGATGCGGGCCGCCTCGGCGCCGCCGCTCGCCTGCTGCTTCGGTCCCGCCGCTCTGGCGCGGCTAAGCGCACGACTGCCCTGGCCGCGCACCTCCGACGCGGCCCCCAGCGGCGCGGCCAGCAGGGCGAGCAACAAGAGGGGCCAGGTCCGCAGCCTCGGCCGCCAGCTCCCGCTTGCAGGCCCGGGCGACCTTCGGCCACTCGCCGAGAGCGTCGCCGCGCCGCTCGGCCTGGCCGCGCTCTGCGGCGCACTGCGGCTGCCAAGGCCCGCTGCTGCCTGCGCGGTCGCCATCCTCGCTGCTGATTTCGCCCATGGGGCAAGACTCAGCCCAGGGCGCTCTCCTCGGGGCCGCGGGGGCTTCAGCGAGCTGCGCACGCGCCGCTTCCACTTGGGTGCGAATGGCTACCCGCGCCACCTCGAAGTTGCTGGAACCCCAAGCCTCGTGTAGCTTGTCCAGCTGCACGAGGAGCCCTGGGACCTGGCTGGCTCCTGCCCACTCAGCAGCGCGCTGGCGCTGCTGCGCCTCGGCCTCCTCGCGGGCTGCCTCCTCGAGGACGTGGGGCGCGCGGCTGGCCTCTTCCACTTCCGCGTCTAGCAGCGCCAGCTCCCCCTGGGCCTTCTGAAGCTGGGCCTCGGCGAGGTCGCGCGCCGCCTGCTTCTGCTCCAGGCCCTGGCGCGCTGCTCGGAGCCGCTTCTCAGCTTTGCTGATGGCGTTCGCCTCCTTGTGGAGCTGCGTCGACAGCGGCAGGGAGGGCGCCTTCTGCTCCGCTGCTGCCCGCTGGGCCACGACCAGCTCGGCGCGCTTGGCCTCCAGCTGGCTGGCGACGACGCCGGTGAAACAGCTGTCGACCCCGTCGGGCGGCTCCGCTTGCAGCGCCTCCAGCTGCTCGGCTGCCGCCTGCAGCCTCTCGATCGCCGTGGCGCCGCTGCCGCTGGGCGTCCCAGTGTCTGCCCGAGGTCTGCGACTTGGCGGAGGCCGCACTCGTTGCAGCGCTGCGGGCCTGCCGCTGGGCACGGCGTCCACGCGGCGGATCCACCCAGCCGTCCTTGTCAGCCTGGGGCTTCGCCTTGGCGGCTGCCGACTCCAGCGCCCAGGGCGGCGCAGCGTGCCCACAGCCGAGGCACGTGGTGCGCCAGTCCCAGTTCAATCCACCGCAGCTGCACATCCAGTACGTCCTGCTGCGCCTGCTGCCACTGCCGCCGCCACGCGAGGAGCGCGCCATGGCCCTTGCCGCGCTGGCTGACAGGCCGCGCCTCCGCGCCGTGAAAGCAGGGAGCACAACAAACAAGTGCACTGGCCCAAAGCGAGGGGACCCTCGCGCTCGGAACGCCGCGGGCGACTTGCGGTCGTCGGGTGCTCCATGGCCTTGAGCCAAAATGGCTACGGAGAGGAGGATGTGCACAACTTGTCTGGTTCCGATCACTGTGCCCCGCCCCCTCCGCTTGTCTCCCTCCTCCCGCTTGTCACCTGAAACCTCCAGGGACGTCCTAATCGCAGGGGGGAATCCCCAGTACTTCCGAAGCCTCCGATAGCCTTTGCGTTCCGAGCCCCTAGAACCATCCAGAAAGATGAATCAACTCCCGGCAAACATTCGGATTGCAGGAACGCCCGAACACAAATTCCAGAAGTCCGACATATATGGTGCGGTGAACACACTGCTTTTTGTTGAGTCAGCGGAGATTCGGGGTGGCCGCGTAGTTTGTCGAGGCGGGGGTGTATCCATACCCACCGCGGCACAACAATATCCGTAGCCACCGCCTGCCGAGGTCCCTTGACCTCGCTCTCCCGGATCAGGGCTCGAGCTGAACCGTGTTTGGGTGATTCCGCTGACCGTTTTCGTTCTGATTTCGTTCCGCAGCCAGCGCAGAACGAAGACAGACCGAGGCACAACGAGCACGACTCGAGCGAGAAACACTGTTTAGCGTGAGCTCTGCTCCAGATGTTAGATGGACGGGTCCCCGCCCCGCTCTCGGGGCGTTCTCCAAGGAAGGCTTCAGTGCCTGGGGCCCCCAAGGGCCCCCCACGCCCTCTGGCGGCGGGCCGCCTCGGGGAGGGCCTCTCGGTAGCATGGCGTGGTCACCGCGGCGGTCCGCCACCGGACAGCCTTGGGGACCCTACCGTCGGGGCTCAAGAGACAAGGGTCAGTTCGAAAAGGACACATGCCACACACATCAACTCTTGGCGCCCCGCGCGGAGTTCTTGGATCCGCGCTGGACCCCCCCTCCCCTGGCGCGCGGAGCGCGCCAGGTGCGGCGCAGGCGGCGCCGCCAGGGTGGCCCAGGCGGCGCCGCTGGAGGCGCCTTCCTGACCCGGGTCTCTTGGCATCGTTCGGACGTGGTGCATTTTTCCTTCGGCGAGGACCATCGAGAAGCATCTTAGATCATTTGGCGAAAAAACCACGCACGAAACCAACAAAAACACAGGGAATGGACGTCCGAGCGATGGCCAGGTCTGGATTGACCCGGGTCAGGAAAGCCTCGATCCAGGGCGGAGGCCGGCCCTCCACCGTGGAGGTTCGCGAGCCTCCGTCGGAGGTTTCGGGGTGGCCACCACCATGAAGCTCGAGGGTTTCCTCTGCCGCGGGGCGGTCCCCCCCCCCCCCCCGACGCCGACCGGTGATGGTGGCACGTGTGGTGCCGCTCAGATCGGGTCGAGCGAAAGGGGGGGACAGGGAAAAGGAGGCTTACGAGATCTTCTGCAAGCAGCTGGTTCCGGCCCTGCCACCGGGCCCATTCCTCGAGACATGGGCGGCCCCCTGCGCCGGGAGGCAGTGGGAAAATCAGCTACGAGAGCTGATTCTCTACCCTACAGGCGGCCCAGATTAGTAGGTCGACCCTGCCAGATCAAAGGTACCCTTGTGTCCCGTGTCTCGCGACCAGTGCCTCCTACGTTGGTATGGCCATGTGGCCCTCGGAAGGGTCTTGTGTCCTCTCGGGTGTCCTGCCCAATCAGGTCCGACTGTACCCTCTGCTATCCCCCCCTCTCGTTCCCCCCGCTCGGAGGGCAGCCCGAGTGCCACCGCCGCCCAGGCCTGGGCGGGCGGCGGCCCCCCCGGGCCCTGGAGGCGTGGCGCCCGGGCCGAGCTCGGAGGCTGGCCGCAGCAGGCCTCGAAGTCTCGGCACCCCGATCTCGGGGCGCGCCGCACGGGGCGGGGCCCGCGCCAGACGGCCCTGCCATGGTGGCGTTACTCTGTCTTGGGCTCCACGGCCCAGCAGTTCCAGCTCTTTCCCTCCGTCGTCGTGCCCTCCTCTCCCCTTCCGCCGCCCCCTTCCCTGTTCCTTCCAGTCATCTCTTGCGCGATGGAGGCCCCTTCCCATCGGTGCGGAAGCTGGCAATGTTCATCATCCGAGCTTGACCCCGTTTGTTCTCCTCGCCCTCGGCGTCCTCACACAGAAAACTCCAAGGCCATGGAGCTGCTTCCTGACCCTGGGACGGTCAATCAACGAGTCAGGATGACAGAACGGGCGCAGGCATGGGGTCCAGCCGTACGGGGACTTTCCGCCTCACTGCAGGAGGAACATTCAAAGCTAGTCGAAAGATAGCCTGGGGACGATTCTTTGATGACTACTTTTGACCATTTTTGATTTACGGTTTCATTTTTTACAAATCCGCCTGTAGGAGGACATGCCCGACCTAAGCGTAGCCGAGAACAGGTGCGAACTCCAGGGGCGGGGGGGCGCTGCCTGCGCGCGGCCCTGGGCCGCCTGCGACCCGGCTCGATGCGGTGCGATTCGCTGTCAGGGAGCCAGAGACGGGATAACAGCAGACGGGGTAACAGGAAACGGCCGGTTCGAGGCATCAAATGGCCCTTTTGTTGCAGCGCAGTTTTGTGTTGCTTTCGCGTTCGATGCAGCGCCTTCACATGCTGGTTGCGTTGCACATTTTCCGTTGCTGCATTGCAACTGTTTGTTTTGGGCCTTCTGTTACCTGGTCTGTGGGGCTTGTCTGCAGTTTTTCCCGCAACTAGTTGCCAACAATTTGCAGTGCAGTTTTTATCCTGCGTTGCAGAAACATGCGGTGCATTTGTTTGTTCTGGTCGTTGCAGTTTTTCCACCTGGATCCCATGATGGGTTTGTTACCCCGTTCAGGCGTTACCCGCTTTAGTGCTCCCTGACGCTAGCCGTGGCTGCGATTCCGACTCGATCCGCTTCGGAAGGATCCGCTGGCGATGCAACCCGTTTCCAATGGGCCCATTCTCCACCACCAGTACCATATGTAGGAGGGGTAGGAGAAGGAGGAGGAGGAGGCGGAGGAGGAGGGTATTTTTGTCGGTGTTTTTTTCGTGTGTGGTCCCAAACCCGCCCGTAGGAGGACCCGCCCGACCCGACCCGAGGTCTACGACACCGCCCACCTGCAGAGCGTCATGCGCAAGGTGCCCGCGCTGCGTCGCAGGCCGCGAGGGGCGCCACGTCGGGCGGGGGGGACCGTCGTCGGGGGCAGATCGCTCCAGAGCGTTCCACAGCGCTCTCGGGTCCCTCCCAGGCGCTCCAAGGATCAGGAGGGTAAAAAACACAGGCACAGGGCAAACACACGGAAACTATGGGAAGTGGGGGGGAAGACAAAAAACCCAGAAAATATATGAAACTATGGGGAATCCTTTTATTTGTGTGTATTTGTTAGTGTGTCCTGGGGCCCCTTCACAGGAGGCCGCCAGGGCGGATGCATCTTCCAGAGCCGTCGGATCCAAGAGACTCCCGACTCGTCCCATCCCTGTTGGATCTTGCCCCTGGCAGGACGACGCGGGGGATGGGCAGGATCGAGAGGAGAGGGAAGAAGGACGAGGAGAGAGGAGGGAAGAGAGTGACGATGGCCGAGGAAACGGGAGGGGTGAGCATCACGAAGAGTTGGATGAGGAGCAAGTGGATGAGGAGAAGGGAGGAGGTTGATTTGTAAGGAGGGGGAAGAAAGGACCATGAGGAGTTGGATGAGTCGAGGAGGAGGATGAGGAGGAGGAGGAAGAAGAAGGCTGATGCATAGGGAGGGGCGAACCACGCGGGATGAGGCGGAGGAGGACAAGACGGAGGAGGAGGAGGAGGAGGAGGAGGGTGGAGGGAGGACGGAGGCGGAGGGGAGACAGAGCAGGAGCACGCCGGGCGCCCGTGTGTCCGAAGCAGCGGCGGCGCGGGTAGAGTAGGCTGGAGCCGTTCCGACGAGCCTATGGACTCGGGGCTGGACAGAACCCCCAATAGTGACACGTCGATTAGTGAATTGTCCGTTTTCGGTTCTCGAGAGGGCGCCGCGGCCCTTATTTTCCAGGCCTGCGCCCGCCAGGTTTGGGCCTCAGGTCGTTTTCACTAAACCACGTTTTACTAAAGGGGGGTCTGTCCATCCCCGATGGACGAAATCACAGTTCAAGCATTGTCCCGTAAAACGCCGCCTCCAGAAATCTAAGTTCAGCGCGGCAGAAGACCAATCGCTGTTTTTGACACGGGGTGTAGGGTATAGGCGGCCACACCTAGACTGGCCGCAGTGTATAATACCATCGCGTAGCAACTTCTATTATGGCTTACCCTTGTGTGTCCTTGTATGATCTGATGACGCGTAGTTTCCCCCCCCTATCTCAGTTCATTCGCAGCTCTTCATCGGCAGACCCACTACACAGCTGAGCCCGTCTTTTCTCCGAGTGCTATTTTGGATCATCTCATTTCTTTCCGTCCCGGCAGGGGCGTTCCGCGGTCAGATCCTCGACGCGCCCTGTCGGGACTGTTCATGCTCTGGCGAGCTTGCCGGGCTCCTGCGCTGCCCGCGCTGCACGGCGACTCTCTCGGGAGGCCGAGCACATGACGGCGCAGGGTGGCGAGAAGCCTCCGCGCGGCGTCATTACCCATTGGCAACAGGGGTGGACCTAAACGGCGTTTTGGCGATCTCGTGGGCCGTTTTCGCTCCGATTTCGTTTTGCGTGAAAGGCGGATCGAAAACACAAACGAGGAAGAACGAGCACAGACCGAAGACGAAAAACACCGTGTGGGTTCAGCCCTGATTGTGGCAACCTCGCGGCCCCCGAGGCCTCCTCGTGCCACGTGTGGGCCGGGAGCGGCAGCGGAAAAGCCTGTCGGTGGCCCCCGTGCCCCGCTGCCCCCCCTTTGGTGCGCCCTCGCGCGGAGCGCGGCGGCCGGCCACCCGCGGGCCTGCCGCCCGGGGGCGCACGGACGGAGGTGCGGGCGTTCCCGCAAGGATCGGGCCGGACGAAAGGGGGGGATTGGGAAAGGGGGGGTTACGAAA